CCCCCCCAGATTGGGGTCGACCCCAGAATAAGATTTTTAAGTTCCCAAACAACTTTTCAACGTAAGCAAGTGTGAACGAGCAATCCTAACAAGTTTAAATCAATTTGTACTCCTCCAAAACTAAGATACAATAACATTAAAGATTCCCAAAATAGAATAAAGGATTCAAATACACTTCTCAAAAACTTTAAAGGACACAAGTGCTACAGAGGTGATTGGCATTACAAGGTAAGTTCTGTGAAAAACATAGCAAAAATAATGAAAACTGAAAGTCATTTTTTCGAGATTAAACTCCCGAACATATGACCTAAATTCCAAACATAGGCTCGAACATTTTTTATTTGTTCAGGAATAGGTAATCGAACATTGCTTATTTGTTCAGAAATAGATAATCGAACATTATTTTATCACTGCAAGGTCATGAATAAGTATATGGAGATAAAATAGTAATCATCTAATAGAAGTATATTAAATTGACAATGTTAAAAAATACCCCAAGATGAAAAACAGTGCTTACAAGTATAATAAGGCCATGGATGAGTGGATTGTGTTGTGTGTGTGAAAAGAGGTAATAGACAAAAAAACAATTCAAGCATATTGACAAAATTCGTGATCAAATAGAGAAAAAACTTCTTAATCACCTTGACAAGTAATCACAAGTGGTGAATAAATTTTTTTCTACCAGTTTTGGGAGGTTTCACCGTCGTGGGTTTTGTTAGGATTTTGGGAGATATTCTGTGAAAAACATAACAAAAATACTGAAAACTGATCGTCATTTTTTCGAGATTAAACTCCCAAACATATGACCTAAATTCTAAACATAGACTCGAACATTTTTTATTTGTTTAGGAATAGGTAATCGAACATTGCTTATTTGTTTAGAAATAGATAATCGAACACTATTTTATCACTGCAAGGTCATGAATAAGTATATAGAGATAAAATAGTAATCATCTAATAGAAGTATATTAAATTGACAATGTTAGAAAAGACCCCAAGAAGAAAAACAGTGCTTACAAGTATAATAAGGCCATGGATGAGTGGATTGTGTTGTATGTGTGAAAAGAGGTAATAGACAAAAAAACAATTCAAGCAGATTGACAAAATTCGTGATCAAATAGAGAAAAAACTTCTTAATCACCTTGACAAGTAATCACAAGTGGTGAATAAATTTTTTTCTACCAGTTTTGGGAGGTTTCACCGTCGTGGGTTTTGTTAGAATTTTGGGAGATAGGTTTTTTGGGATATGAAGGTGTGCATTTGAATAAGTGTAATGTTTTCACAAGAAAATTTTTGGTATTATTTGAGGGGAGGAAATAAATTTTAAGGGTTTTAGAAGTTATAAATGAGGGTCCAAAGGAATAGGTGGTCCAAAATAATTGATGGGGTGCTAATAGTAACATTCTTAAAAAATTGTTTTTTTTATTTATTTTCTTTTTCATAAACTTTTTTTAGATCTTTTTTTTAAAAAAAAAAAAATCACTTTTTTAATTCTTCTACACTAGATGAATCCAAAAAGTGGGAAAAAAAATTAACATAAATTTGCAAAAAAAAAAAAAAATCACCAAAGACCAATTAAAAAAAAAATGTGACTTTTTTGAGTCCGAATCCTCTGCCGCGCTTTCTACAGTGCTACCAAAATGACATCATTTTGGTATTTTTTTTGTTTTTATTTTTTTTTCTCCTGTTTTGTTTTCCCTCAGTTTGAAGGACCACAACCACAACCCTAAGCACCTAATGAACAGAAAGACGAAGAGGAAACCCACAATTTGACGGGGAGGCGACTTCGGCAGCGAGGCGACGGCAACTCCATCAAGATTGAGTGTAATGGATCCTCAACCTCCTTTTCTCCTCCTCTCTCTTCTATTGTGAATGTGATGAATAGTTCTGGGTTGAATATAGATGCAGGAAATGTGTAAGCACTCTCAATAAGTTTGGAGTTTCTGATTCATTCAAAGAAATACATGATTAAAGCGATAAGTTGCTGGATTGTGTGCAGAGGAAAATGGGAAGGACTCCAAACAGAGCTTTCTTTGTTTTGGGATAATAAGTTTCAATTTATGGGATGTAATTTCAAGTTCTTCAGGAAAATTCTTAGGCCGTGTAGAGATCTTGGATTTGTCAATGGATTTCTAGATTTTTAAAAAAAAAGGAGAAAGAAAATTTATTTTTTACTTCCATTTTGTCTTCCCTAAACAAATAAGATGAACTCCAAACAGGGCTTCATGTTAAGTTAAACTCCCTTGAAAATTTCTGGCTGTGTCTATATGTTGAATTTATCAAAAATTAAAAGATGGAAAAGAAAAAGAAAGGGAAAACAGAAAGAGAAAAATAAACACTTGATGGAGGGTTCTTCAACATATCCAAAATATGTTTTTCAATTCATAGTCCATGAAGAAACTAAGATGATGGAGTTGCCGTTGAGGATCCATTACACTCAATCTTGATGGAGTTGCATTTGCCGTTGCCGTTGCCGTCGTCTCGCTGTCCGATCGTGGGTCTCCTCTTGCGTCTTTTTGTCTTTCTGTTCATAAGGTGCTGAGGGTTTTGGTTTTGGTTTTGGTTGTGGTTGTGGTTGTGGTTGTGGTCTTTCAAACTGAGGGAAAACAAAACAGGAGGGAAAAAAAAAAGAAAAAAAAAATTATTAATAGATCACAGGAAGCACGGCAGACAAGCGACAGAGGATTTGGACTCAACTTTTTTAGTCAGATTCCAAACTCACAAAATAGTTGCCATACATTTTTTTTTTTTATAATCAATATGAGAGAATAAAAAATAAGATATAACACAAAAATAGGATCTTTGACCAAGCGGTTGTGTAGCACAAGTTTAGTAATTGTGTAATGCCAACTAAAGTATTATTGAGACATAAAAAAATTTCAAATTTAATGACCTTAATATTATTATTTTATATATTTATATTTTTTTTTATCCATATTCGAAAAGAAAGTGAAAGTTGACCATGAGGGCAAAAAACCTAGTTCCCTTTTTAACAAAATTTCTGTACCTCATGTGTGATAATGGGCACGAGTCACCCTTTTTTGAAAGCACCATTATTAATTTTTTCATCAAATTTGTATCAAATTAAAAGAAAAATTAAAATTTTTACCAAATTAAGGAAAGACAAAATTCTTCACTAATTTCTAACAGTTTTATTTTTATTCAAATTTGATGCAATTTTCAAAAGGATAAGAATTAAAGATGATTTTCTTTCATAAAAATGATTAAACATGTTTATTGAATGAGTTTAAAATTTTTCAAAAAGATTTGATGAAAAAAGAGTACGGATTGAAATATTTCATATCAGATCAAATTTCTATTTAAATTTTCACTCAAACTTGATAAATAAAAAAAACTGAAGGTAAGGATTGAAGATACTCTTAGAACTCCTAATCTAGAAGAAATGAAATATATTCAAGATCTTTTTTTCCATGCTATATTCAATATATAATGTGCTTAGAAATTTCTAGCCTTTCTGGTGTGGGGATCTTCTGATGAGATCACAGATGAGCTTTGGATAACTATATGGAACAGTTATGGGCCAGTTAATTTATTTATCAATAAGTCCTGTTATTATATAAATAACTATTAAAATGATTAATTTCTGAGTTACATTGAGAAATTTATTAACTTAACAAATACAGCTCATAACTACACATAAATAAAAAATAAAAGTGAATAAGTTACACTGATGAATTTCTCATTTACCAGACTAATACATCAATGAATTTTTTACTTAGGATTTTTGAATAAATAAGTCCAGTCAATATAGCCAAGTAATTATTTCTAAATTTATAGGGTTAATTAATGAAAAGCCTATTTCTATGGGACTATATGTTATTTGGTCTAATGTTTAATTTTTTTGGGGGAAATAATGACACACATTGAAAAGTCATCAGAAAAATCGTTGGCGTTGAAAAAGTCGTTGTCGATGGCGGCTATAAGGTAAAGACATACGTGACATTGAACAAATAGATAAATAGATAATGACAAGTGTACAGATAAGTGAGATTTTAATAGATAATTGGACAGATAAATGACACATGTACAGATAGATAGATAGGTCATCTTTGAACAAATAGATCCAAAAGGACAAATAATGTCCTAGTGGCCCAAAATTTTTTAAAGAGCAATGTTACACCTACCGAATTTTGACTTGCTTGAATCGTTCAAATTTGTGCATGCTGATCATCTAGGTAGTCGATTGGCCGATCGTCTAGTTGGTCACCTGACAACAAGGGTGATAGTCATAATTGACAAGGGGTGTCAACATCAGTTGGCAAGGATTGTATCGGTCGTCTAGGACGTGGACTGACATGTACAAATTTGAGTAATTCGAGCAAAATTAAATTCGTGAACGAATCATTTTTCATTTAAAAAATAAAATAAATTTCTACCTAAGTGTCTATATATATATGAAAAATGTTAGGGATTCCAAATGTTTTACCAAATATTTTATCTAATGTCAACATTTAGTAAAATATTTGAGATTCTTAACATTATTCTATATATATATATATATATATATCTATACCATGTGTACTATTGTCATACAAAGTGAAGGTTAAACAGGCTAAGTTTGGCATGACCTAAATAATACAAAAAGTCAAAAAGTCACTATCTTATTTAAGTCACATCATCTTATTTAAATCACATCATCTCTCTAACACATCACATCAAACCCAACCCAAACTCAACCCATATAAACCAATAAGTCAAAAAGTACACTTTTTTAAAACATCCCAAACCAACCCTTAATTTTCAAGTCTTTGTTTCCTTCTCATTATGTCATATGGACCTTCGATGAAAGAAAGAATGAATTTACCATTTAAACAATCGCATGTGTCACCTATGAGTATACATAGTGCTTGTTGGGTATATATTAAAATAACTTATGTTATTTTAATATATTATTTTATTTAAATCATATTATATCGTTAAAAAAGTCAAAAAAAAAAAAAAAAAATTAATCTAACACTAAACCGTGTACCATTTTATCAAAATGAAGAGGCGCAACTTTTATACAACGAACAGTCGGTCCATCGCAAAGAACATCATCCGCATCCCGCCCCAGGGAAAACTGGAGGGAAAACAAAATTGAAAATCGTTAGTATAAAAATTTGAGCAAAACCTCTTCTTTATTCTATCATTCATTCATTCAATCACTTGTTATTCTTATTCAAATTCTCTCACTTGTTATTCTTATTCAAATTCTCTCTCTTTCTATATATATATATGTATAATTTATTTACACAAACATTGATAGGTTTATTCAATTTGATTTTTATGGAGTAACATGAAAAATTCAGATTCAATTCGCAGTAAGCGACATCGATTTGATCATTTGCCCAATTCTTCTCAATTTTCTCGCAAAAAGCACAGACCTGTGGTTATCAACACAGCTTCTATACATATACAACCTCTCGGATTGCCTCTGGTTTCAACAACCCAAACTTCTTCATCCGAATCGATCAATCTCGAGCCCTACAGACCCTACACCATCGGCCGAGCCCATCGACACTGCGATTTCGTTTTCGAGGACCGCCGAGTCAGTAAGAAGCATTTCCAGATTTTATTTGATGCTCTGAATCGTAAAATATGTATATCTGATGGTGTGTTTTGGTCTGGTTGTGGTGGGTTTTCTAGGGTTAGGGTTTCCATGAATGGGGTGTTTGTCAATGGGGTTAGAATTGTGGGAGGGGAAGTTGCTGAGTTGGGTGCGGGCGATGAGGTTTCGCTTGTGTGTGGAAATGAAGGGGTTTGTAGTTTGGGGGTTAGGATTGGGTTTGTTGTGCAAAGAATTGTTTTTGTGGAGGAGGTTTTTAATGGAACTGTATCTAATTTTGGTGAAAATGGATGTGGTAGAGTTGTTGCGTCAGTGAACTTGCTTTTAAGTCAGTGCAGACAGATATTGCATAGCAATGATCCTATATTGTCCATTCGTAAATGCGATTTTTCACATAGAGTGAATAGTGTTCTGGGTTTGATGTTGAGTAATGTTGGTAAGTTTTCCATGGGAGGTGTGTCGGAGCTGAGAGGTGGTAATCTTGTTGAACCACCCTCCGGTGAGGACTCACATGCTGACCAGAGATTGGAAAATGTAAATGTAAATGCCAATATGGTACAGTTGAGTTCAGTTATTCGTGATAGAGAGACAACTGTGGTTTATGAGGCTAACGCTGCCTCTGAGTGTTACAATTTTAATGGTAACCATTTACAACAAATGGAACATGTTGGAGCTCCTCTTCCAAGCAATGTCGCCAATGGCAAACCTAAGACTTTGTGTTTGGATTCAGCTGTTAAAGATGGTTTACCATTACAACAAATGGAACATGTTGGGGCTCCTCTTGCAAATGGTGTTGCTAATGGCAAACCTAAGGCTTTGTGTTTGGATTCAATTGTTAAAGACAGCGGTTTACCATTACAACAAATGGAACATGTTGGGGCTTCTCTTGCAAATGGTGTTGCTAATGGCAAACCTAACCCTTTGTGTTTGGATTCAATTGTTAAAGACAGCGGTTTACCATTACAACAAATGGAACATTTTGGGGCTCCTCTTGCAAGCAGTGTTGCCAGTGGCCAACCTAACCCTTTGTGTTTGGATTCAACTGTTAAAGATAACGGTTTGCCATTACAACAAATGGAACAATTTGGAGCTCCTCTTGCGAGCAGTGTTGCCAATGGCAAACTTAAGTCTTTGTGTTTGGATTCAACTGTTAAAGATTACGGTTTGCCATTACAACAAATGGAACAATTTGGAGCTCCTCTTGCAAGCAGTGTTCCCAATGGCAAACCTAAGACTTTGTATTTGGATTCAATGGTTAAAGAGAATACTCCGCAGTTTCATTGGGGTGCACATGATGAGAATCAGATTGGTTCAATTCCTCCCCCAGGGAATAAGTTTTATCTTAACCGGCTTCAAACTATGGGACATGGTTCATTGGACCATCATGATGTTGTTTCCTTGCCAGAACTTCTGTATCCCATTGAAAGCCTTTCACAAATTTTTATTGCTACTTTTACAAGCGATATTTTATGGTAAGTTTCTTTTCTCTTCTTTGTTTCCATTTCGTTTCTTTATTTTATTCCACATGTTGAAAAAAAAAAGATAATTTATTTGTACAGGTACTGTTTTGCAAGTGTGGCATGAGGTGCAATATTTCAATAAATTTGTCAAATAGTGGCATATGGTTATAATATGCATGCATAAATTGATTATTTGATTTCTCTGTTGTTTTACTTGTTATTTTATTGTTAGATATGATCATTCCTTTAAATTATAACAATCAAAAGTTTCATATTATAAAAAAATATTTGAAAATTTATTTGTTATTCATTAGGGAGTGCATTGGTTGGAGCTCATTGATTCTATGTACAAAGATGCACACATTCACACACATATATGCGCACGTCTTCTGTTTTTAATTCAAAAGTGTTGTGATTTTGTAGGTTTTTATCATACTGTGATATTCCTGCCCACCTACCAGTGACAATTGCATGCCACAACTGTGAGGGGTGTTGGAGTTCATCCCCCGACAAAAGAATCTCAGTGCCTTTCTCAGATTTTCCCAATTTAGTTGTGGTGTAAGTTACCTTTGCATGCTTAGCTGTTTGCTACTTATCCATTGATGAAAACAACATGCTGAAGTTACTTATCAAAAAAAAAAAAACATGATGCTGAAGTTGTTAACCCATGTGAGCTACTAACAGTTCTTATCAAAAAAAAAAAAAAACATGATGCTGAAGTTGTTTACCCATGTGAGCTACTAACAGTTCTGTAATATAGTCCAATTATGATAATAGGTATCCTCCATTTCCCAAGGTTATAGCCTTTGGTAATGACCGCAAACGATCAGGCATAGCCTGCCATCATCCAAAATTGCTTGTGTTACAAAGAGAAGAAAGCATCCGTGTTGTCATTACTTCTGCAAATTTGGTGGAAAAACAGGTGAATCTTTCTGTTCTTAACATATTCATGATGTTTTATTTGTAAAACTGGTAGTGAAGAGCCTTGTCCCCATTTTTATTTGATATTCTAACTCTTCTTCATATTTTATAATGCTCTCCTTATAAAATTGGTGAAGAATCTTTTTGTTTTCCATATTTAATTAATATTTTGAACTCTGATATATGAAAACTTGGACTTCTATTGCACTTGAGTTAAAAAAAGATTTCTATTATATGTAACTAATGCATTTTTTTTTGATAAATAAAGATAAATATTATTAAAAAGTATCAAGATGAAGCAAAGAATACAAAAGGCTAGCAGCCTATAACTGTTCAGAAATAAAAAAAACCATGAAGTCAAATCATTCACAAAATTTATAAAGGCCAACACATCTGGATCCACCGCTACTGTAATCTAACTATGAAGAACCAAAAAGAGCCTATTCTGTAGTCAAGACACCGAATGAGATGTCCCCTAAAAAGTATGTCTAATACGCTCCAACCAAATCAACCACATTAAGCACTGAACCACTCCTTCTGATGGCGCCTCCCAACTCTCGGCCCCCTCCAACTATGAAGAACATCCCAAACTAAACCCGGTTGAACCCAGGCCAACCCAAACAAACCAACAAGCGACCAAAGCCTAGTAGCTATAGAACAATAAAGAAGCAAATGATCCGCAGACTCAGCATCACTACAATACATGCAACACCAATTTACCAAAATATGCCGACGTCAAATCAGATTGTCAACAGTCAAAATACGCCCTAGAGCTGCTGTCCATATGAAGAAAGCAACCTTGGAAGGAGACCCTGAAACCCAAACACTCTTCCAAGGACACACCACCCCTGCCCCTCCCACAAGCTCACGATAATATGAAGCAACCGAAGAAACCCCTTTGGAAATATGTAACTAATGCATTGCTGAAGTTTCCATCCAGCTTGATGGTAAGGTGTTGGGTGGCCATCATCAGGCTTGGGTTTAAGGCTGTAAAATTTAATGTATAAAGAGAAATAGAGAGAGAATAAATTGTATGTATTATTGATTGATTTATATTGATTGATATTCTGTCTATTACAAATGATTCCTTATATAGATGTAGGTGTAGTGGATGGTGGTAGTGGGTTAGGTTTAGTGGAGTAGGTGAGGTGGTAGTGGTGTAGTGGGTTAGGTTTAGTGGAGTAGGTGAGGTGGTAGTGATGGTAGGTGATA